CTTCTCTAACAGTTACAGGATTTTGTTGTGACCCTTGGTATGGCCTGGCTGTGGGGAGTTACAGTCAGTCTTGTGGATTAGCTTAGCGCAGTGGTTCTCATCCTGTGGGTCGAGACCCCTTTGGGGGTCTAACAACCCTTTCACAGGGGTCGCCTAACACCGTCGGAAAACAAATATATAATTACATACTGTTTTTGTGGTTAATCACTGTGCTTTAATTATGTTCAATTTGTAACAATGAAATTGGGGGTCACCACAACATGAGGAACTGTATTAAAGGGTCGTGGCATTAGGAAGGTTGAGAACCACTGGCTTAAAGGCTTGAGTGGTCATCTGTGAGACTCACTGGGCATGGTGCAGAGGGCCATCAGGGCTGGGACTTGAGTGAAGGTTCATTAAGGGATGTTGGCTGTGACTGGTAAAGGGACATCAAGTGCAGCATCAGGGGAGGTGGGCTCTGGATATCTGAGATCTGATTGTGGTTCTTAATAGATGAGGTTGAAGGAAAAAATAGTCAGGAAAAGAGGCCTTCATAGCAGGACTCAAGGCTGCCTCTATGAGTGTGGATTATCAGTGTCTGTGCAAAACTTGGTCCTCTTGGAATTTGGCAAGCAGTCTCTGGACCACACATGCTGAGTAATAAGAGGGCAAGGAGATGACTCTGGGGGCCGGAAATGTAGGAGTGCAGGTGTGAGAGAGGTGTGGTACAAAGAGTGATAATGCACTTGGAGAAGGAGTGTGAATTCATGGCCAGAGTGCCCTGACATTGACATAAGAGTGAGTGAAGGGAGAGTTCATATCTGGTGGTGTCTGGATGATAAAATAAGGAAAATTTTAGGTTTTATTGCCTGAAAAGAGGGGTGTTTTGGTGCTACCTGCCAGGTACAGAGATTAGATGCCATTTATCTACCCACCTGCCTTTTGTTGTTGGGGGCAAATACACTGGTTGATAGGAATGAGATAGCATACATCAGTGTTACCCATGCTGTAAACTCTCCACTGACATGAGTAAGTGAGAAGGGTAAGAGAGAAATGGATTATGGAGGTGTTAATCTATAATTTTGGAAAATAAGGGAATTAGGAAACAACCCATCCTCGCTGGGACAAATTTGTATTACTTTTGAAGTTGTGCCTCTGGGAATGAAGCTGTGTGAGAGGAGTGTTGTTCAAAGAACTATATGCAGCAGGTAGTGCAAAGCAATGGTCTCAACACCCTGGGATTGGGGTCAAGAGGATGAAGTGTGATGGCATGTTTTTGGTGTCTTTGAGGAACAATCTGAGGGACTACAAGGGTATTGGGTATTGCCTGACAAGACTGGTATCAAATCACTCACATTCTCTTTATGGCCAACATCTCTTCCTACTCTATGTTCTTGACACCCACTCTATTGTCAAGAGGACGTGCAGCATACATGGGAAACCCATTGCTCAGGTATCTTCTATCTGCTCAACTGCCTTTATTGTTGTGGGAAGACAAAATATCAGTAGGAATATAAGAAGACAGTGAATTTTATGGGATGAAGGCCTGGTATCTTCTCTGGTGTGTGAAGTTGAGAGAGCTGATAGATATTGAGGGTGGGGAGTATGACAGAGTTCGAATCTTAGGAATGAATCTAATCATGGGCTGTACTGTCCCCATTATGACAGGATATGAACTTTGAGGACGTAGCCATTGCCTTCTCTCAGGAGGAATGGGGGCTCCTTGATGAACCTCAGAGACTTCTCTACTGCGATGTGATGCTGGATGTTTTTGCACTTGTATCATCTGTAGGTAAGTTCTTCACATTTTCCCAGTGTCTGAGGTGACGTCCTCTCTTCCTTTATTCCTCAGATGTAGCTTTTTCTCTCCTACAGCAGACCATGGGCTCTGCTTATTTCCCCCATTGTCGTGTCATATGTGCTGTGGCTTTCATGGGTGAGCTCTAGTCAGAGCCCTGAGTGATAGACTCCACAAACATCCCTAATGCTAGTTGCCTCTGAAAGTGCAGGGTGTCTGGAAGTCAGGAGTCTTAGAGACAGCTTAATGGGTCCCACCTGCTGTTCCTCTCCCTGGAAGGGGGACTATGTCCAGATCCATGGCTTCCATTTCTACCTCCTTCCTCTAGCCAAAGGTCCTTGGTGACTGCCTGTGCCAGGTTATGGTCTTTACTTACATGAACCTTGAGCTCTTCTTACAAGATCACACTTCAGTTCTTGTTTGTAATATTACCTTCTATAAATACTATTGTAAGCCAAATTGCTTTAGGCCAGTGCTGGATGCTCATCTCTGTGGTCTTTCATTAGTACTTGGAATATTTATGTTGTACGTATTTGTAGAGAAGAATGTGCAGGGAGAACCCTGGTTTTTTCAGAGGATGGTCTCAGAAGGGGCCTGGCCCAGTTGAGTTGCAACTGTGGGCTAGATATGATGTAATGGTGGTGTTTAGGTGATACCAAGCACCTACTCATTTCCAACAGTGATTAGGTGCAAGTACCATGGGCAACAGCAGATTTCTACCTTTTCTTTCCCATACTTAGCACTTTGCTGACTTGTCATTTCATCTGTAACTTTCTGGCTTTTGACTACCTTCACCTTTGTGGCCTTTTTCCATCGCCTGTTCGTCTGCATTGCTCCATCTGCAGTATTCTCCAACATTGACCTGCACATGTGTTATGAGATGCACATACATGCTTAAGTAGTTCTCGAACACCAGCTACTAAGTTATTGAATATTATTTGGAATAAGACAGCCGTATTTCAGCACAGCTTGCGCATGTCACCAGCAGACAAGCCTTGCTGAACACTGTTAGCAGAAGAATGAGCTGACAATCCTGCTTCTCTGCCATGTGGTGCTTGCCCTGTGTGTCATATTTCGTTTGAGGTCTTCCTTTGTTTTGTGATCTTCCATAGCCCAGACATTCATGGCAGCATCTTATAAATCCTTCCTACAGATCTTTTATTGTCAGACAGTTGCATGGAACCAACGTGTTATGTGCAACACAGTTTTCTAAAGGGACTTCCATCTGTCACCACAGTATTCATTTCCTCACCATTTTACTATTTTCAGGTTGTTGGCACATAATGGATGATGAGGAGGCCAATTGTGAGCAGAGTGAATATGTACCAGGAGAGTCACAAGTCAGGGCTTTTAAGACAGCTCCAGCAACCCAGAAGACCCATCTTTGTAAGTGCTGTTTCTCAGTGTTAAAAGATATTTTGCACCTGACTGAGTTACAAGCAGCATACTTTGAGCAGAAAGCCTTCTTCACTGACACATGTGCGAGAGACTTCAGTTTCAGTGCAAACCCTCACCAGCAACAGAGAGATGCCAGTGGAGAGAAGCCCTGGAAAGAAGATATGGACAGGGCCTCACTTGTGTCCCAGTGCAGCTTTTACTTAACATGGGTGCCTTCAACCACTAGGGAGGTTGGGAAAGACTTGCCAGCCATGTCAGACATTCTCCAGCACCAGGCCACTTTTACCACTGGGAAGCTACACAGTGGTAGTGAGATTCCACAGGAATTTCTCAGTGGAAGAAGTCATGACGAGTGGGGTGAATGTAAAAAAGCTGCCAGCCACAACCAGAAAGTTGTTCAACACCAGGGTGTCTGCTCCAGAGAAGTGAATTGTGAGTGTAACAAATGTGGGAAAGCTTTTAGAGAAATCTTTAACCTTATTCGTCATAGGAGAGTTCACACTGCAGAAAAGCCATATGAGTGTAGTGATCGTGGGAAGTTCATCCTAAGGTCCAAACTCATTCAACGACACAAAGGCCACACTGGAGAAAGGCTGTATGAGTGTCATGATTGCAGTAAGTCCTTCAATCAAAGCAGTACCATCACTCAACACCAGAGAATTTGCACTGGTGAAAAACCTTATGAGTGTAGTGAATGTGGGAAATCTTTTACCTGCAATAGTCATTTCCTTATCCACAAGAGAGTTCACACTGGTGCAAAACCTTATGAGTGTAGTGAATGTGGGAAATCTTTTACCCACAATAATAACCTCCTTATCCACAAGAGAGTTCACACTGGTGCAAAACCTTATGAGTGTAGTGAATGTGGGAAATCTTTTACTCGCAATAATAACCTCCTTATCCACAAGAGAGTTCACACTGGTGCAAAACCTTATGAGTGTAGTGAATGTGGTAAATCTTTTACCCGAAATAATAACCTCCTTATCCACAAGAGAGTTCACACTGGTGTAAAGCCATATAAGTGTAGTGACTGTGGGAAGTCATTTACACACAGTTATACCCTCATTCAACACCACAGAGTTCACAATGGAGAAAATCTGTATGAGTGTAGCGATTGTGGGAAGTCCTTCAAAAAAAAGTCTAACTTCAATGAACACAGCAGAGTCCACACTGGAGAAAAGCCCTATGAGTGTTCTGATTGTGGAAAGTCCTTCAGTAAAAGCAGTAACCTCACTCGACACAAGAGAGTTCACAGTGGTAAACCTTATGAGTGTAGTGAATGTGGGAAATGTTTTACCTGCAGTAATCACCTTCTTATCCATAAGACAGTTCACACTGGAGAAAAGTCATATGAGTGTCATAAATGTCAGAAGTCCTTTAGGCATAGCAGTACCCTCACTCAACATCAGAGAGTTCATAGTGGAGGAAGGCCCTATGAGTGTTCTGATTGTGGGAAGTCCTTCAGTAAAAGCAGTAACTTCACTCGACACCAGAGTATTCACAGTGGTGCGAAACCTTACGAGTGTAGTGAATGTGGGAAATCTTTTACCCGCAATAGTCACTTCCTTATCCACAAGAGAGTTCACACTGGTGCAAAACCTTATGAGTGTAGTGACTGTGGGAAGTCATTTACGCGCAGTTATACCCTCATTCAACACCACAGAGTCCACACTCGAGAAAAGCCCTATGAGTGTAGTGATTGTGGGAAGTCCTTCAGTAAAGGCAGTAACCTCACTCGACACCAGAGAGTTCACACTGGTGAAAAACCTTATGAGTGTAGTGATTGTGGGAAATGTTTTACCTGCAGTAATCACCTTCTTATCCACAAGACAGTTCACACTGGAGAAAAGCCATATGAGTGTCGTAAATGTCGGAAGTCCTTTAAGCATAGCAGTACCCTCACTCAACATCAGAGAGTTCATAGTGGAGGAAAGCCCTATGGGTGTTCTGATTGTGGGAAGTCCTTCAGTAAAAGCAGTAACCTCACTCGACACCAGAGTATTCACACTGGTGCAAAACCTTATGAGTGTAGTGAATGTGGTAAATCTTTTACCCGCAATAATAGCCTCCTTATCCACAAGAGAGTTCACACTGGTGGAAAGCCATATAAGTGTAGTGACTGTGGGAAGTCATTTACACACAATGATATCCTCATTCAACACCACAGAGTTCACAATGGAGAAAATCCGTACGAGTGTAGCGATTGTGGGATGTCCTTCCAAAGAAGGTCTAACCTCAATGAACACAATAGAGTCCACACTGGAGAAAAGCCCTATGAGTGTTCTGATTGTGGGAAGTCCTTCAGTAAAAGCAGTAACCTCACTCGACACAAGGGAGTTCACAGTGGTAAAAAACCTTATGAGTGTAGTGAATGTGGGAAATGTTTTAGTCAGAAATATAGCCTGGTTAGACACTTAAGTCTCCACACTGCAGAAAAAGCCTTCAATATGCAGGGAATGACATTTTTTCATTCAGTTTTACAACACTGAAGGAGATTCCTCCAGACCCATTAAGCTGATATTAGACCCCTTTTTATCAGAACATACACTGTGCTAGATTCCTCCTAAGTTTCAGCTGTAAGTGAGCCTTTAAAGTGTTGCATTGCACTTGCTATCCTACCCAGGCCTACTACCTAATTGATGTCACTGTGAGTATATGTGGCTGAAAGTAATTCACTTTTACCACCTGGTTCACCTGAACAGTGTGTGCCTCTTGGGGGAAGTCATTTATTTAGTTCTCTACCCTCATTCAACATCAGAGCATTCACGCTGGAGAAAAGCTATGAGCATGTACTGATTGTGGGAAGTTCTGTGTGCTCAGAAAAATGAATTCTGTATTCTCATTTCTGTTTGAGGACATGATGAGAATTCCGAGCTCTTAGGATCATCACTCCTTTGTCTCTGACTAATGAATGGACCTAACCATTGTTTCCCTCAGACCACCATCCTAAGATGCACTATGCCAGTGGTTCTCAGCCTTTAATTTAATACAGTTCCTCATGTTGTGGTGACCCCCAATTTCATTGTTACAAATCGAACATAATTAAAGCATAGTGATTAATCAGAAAAACAATATGTAATTATATATGTGTTTTCCGATGGTCTTAGGCGACTTCTATGAAAGGAGCAGAGTGAATATTTCGACCCCCAAAGGGGTCGTGACCCACAGGTTGAGAATCACTACGCTATGCCTTTCTGGTACATTGTGCTTCTCACATTGTGCTGTGATGAATTTTTTCAGGTAGTTATTCACCAACATGCAAACCACTTGCTGTATATGGCTCTGGTTTATGATCTTTTTTGTAAAGGTGTTTTTTGCATTTGTACCTTTAATTTATTGGTTCTGTTCTCTGGCTGGGATGAATTGAAAGCACAATTGTGATCTGTCAGCAGGTAGAGGTGAAGAGATATTGTGGGGATCCCAAACTTTCAGTGCTTCTGAAGGGACATCACAATGGCAGAAAATCACTGTTTTTTCCAATATTTGCTTATTTTCCATTTCTGCCCAAAGTCTTGAAAGCAAGACTGCAGAACTTTATGGTTCTATATTGCAGCCTGGTACCTCTATTACTGGTAAAGTCAAAGGTCACTTTTTTAAAAAATATATTTTATTGATTTTTTTACAGAGAGGAAGGAAGAGGGATAGAGAGTCAGAAACATCGAGGAGAGAGAAACATCGATCAGCTGTCTCCTGCACACCCCCCACCGGGGATGTGCCCACAACCAAGGCACATGCCCTTGACTGGAATCGAACCCGGGACCCTGCAGTCCGCAGGCCGACGCTCTATCCACTGAGCCAAACCGGCTACGGCCAAAGGTCACTTTTTGTGCTTCTGTGAACAATATGAATTATATTCTCCGTTCACAGTGTGTATGACATAAGTCTCAGCAATAATCTGTATGCCATGATGTACCAATTTCATAAACTGGTGTCATTCGTTGTAAGAATTTGAGGATTAGGATTAATCTGAGGATTTTTAACCACAATTAGGACAGAAGCACTGCTTCAATCAATAGTGAGTGAGAGAGACTGCAGTAAATTGGTTAAAAAAATGCCTCTTTTGAATGTTTTCCACAAATTTTCCAGGGCCTGTACTTGTGGGATGTTTGTGTACAGATATTCTCAGAACCTGCATAACTTTCTTGTGGCTGAAGTCATTGGTAGAGCAAATAATCTTATGGTGGTGGTGTTTCTGCTGGCCCCTCTAGGGTGTTCACCTCAAGGTTTATGCTCAATAGACAGGATCTAAAAGGTATAGGAAGGATAATCTTGTAGTCAATCCTAAGTTCTGTATTTTGTAACCAGTCAGCATCCCTGTTGATTCTGCTGGCAAAAGTCTTTACTGCTTGCTGATATTTGCTGCCACTGAGGCAAGGCTATTCCTCCTATGATATGAGAACTGACATGCAAAAAACTGCAGTTTTCTTACGTGTTCTATTTGGTGAACTTTGATGTACATATAAAGCTGTGAAACTGTCGCACATGAAACAAACTTATCTGTCAACATTATACACAGTGGAGCAAAAATAGGTTACAGGTGTGAGCACCCAAAATAGAGAGTTTATTTTAAAAACATTTTTATTCACTCTTTTCGGGAGATAGGAAGGGAGGGAGAAAGAAAGAGAAACGTATGTATGAGAGAGATTTGCTGCCTCCTGCACACCCTCTACTGGGGTTCAAGGATCTGAAATGGATCTAGTGAACTTGAAGGGTCAGGGATAATGCCCAACCAACTGAGCAACACTGGTGAGGTCACAGTATATTCTTGTATTATTATTATTTTATGCCATATCAACAGCTCTAAACCTGCTTTTCACACACCCCATATTTGCCTCTTGCCCTTTTATAATCTCTCTACCTTCCCAGCCCTCCATAGAGGCATTGATATTCCTTCCATTACAACATATTAGCTCATATGTTTCATAATTTTAAAGGCACTAGAAGGTGTGTACTCTAACAAATATTGGTTTCCTTCATGCTACACTGTTATTTTGAGATTCAACACCAATGCTGATGTGAATAATTATTTTATTGCTGAGTAGTATTGTGTTCTGTGAATTACCACTTTATCTATTGATCTATCTATGATTTTGGTTAATTCCATGTTTGGGGTATTATAAATAAATCTATTGGGAATATTTGTGTTCACTTCTCTATATAGATATATGTTTTACTTATCAAACTGTTGATGTAGGTGAATGTTTCACATTGTAATATATGTGGAACTGTGATCTAAAATGGCCATTCCCTTTGCCTTCACACCTACCCACCCACAGTATTGGAAATTCCAGTACTTCTGCAACCATGTCAGCACATGCCCTGGTTAATCTTTTTAAATACTAACACCGTAAATGAGTAGAGTATTAACTCACTTTTGTTTTAATTCAATTTACCTAAGAATTTTTTCTGGTGAGCATTTTTTCATACATTTATTTACACTGCCTTTATCATATTCGTTAAAATGTCTGCTCAGAATCTTTTACCAATTTTTAAAATGAATTTGTTATGCTAACCAGTAGGAGGACAGGTCACAATTTAAGACCGTTTGAAGTTCACTCATCCCTCAGTGTCTCAAGTGACTTCTTTGCTCTATGCAACCATGGGTTTTGAATATTGGAATGGAAATTTTTTTTACAATTTTTATTCTATGTACAATTTAAACTCACTTGTACCATATACTTACAGGTTTAATCTGCATTGTTAACATTCTACAACACTCTTTTTTAAGTCTAAGCATCCAATCATACATTAAGTGAAGAGTCTAAGTTCTAATCTTTATTAATTTTCCTACTGTTATCATGGTTAGTTTCAATCTGCCAAAATGATGGCACTGAACATGGACATGAAAATATATTTCAGTACCAAATCGTTATATTTTATTTCCAACTTACTGACACAGTAGGTACAAATATGCTCAAGAACATTCATAATAAAATAGTAAATAATAAGGAAGTGGCTAGTTTTAAACTTTAAGCATAATTGTTTTAAAACATACATTAAAATGTATATGTATATTTTAAAATATATTTTTATTGCTTTCACAGAGGAAGGGAGAGGGAGAGAGAGATAGAAACATCAATGATGAGAGAGAATCACTGATTGGCTGCCTCCTGCACACCCCCACTGGGGATTGAGCCAGCAACCCAGGCATGTGCCCTTGACCGGAATCAAACCCAGGACCCTTCAGTCCACAGGCTGATGCTCTATCCACTGAGCCAAACCGGCCTGGGCTTAAAATGTACAGTGGGATCTTGACTTACGAGTGTCCCCACTAACGAGTTTTTTGAGATACCAGCTGTCTCTCGGCCAATTTTTTGCATTGAGTTGATAGAGCAATTTGAGTTAACGAGCTCCTTAACGAGCTCGGTCTCGGAACGAATTAAACTCGTAAGTCAAGGCCCCACTGTATTTTTATTGCTTTCAGAGAGGGAGGGATAGAAACATCAATGGTGAAAGAGACTCATTGATCGGCTGCCTCCTGCATGCCCCCTACTGATATGGAGCCTGCAGCCTGAGAACATTCCCTGGCCAGGAATGGAAGCATGACCTCCTGGTTTATATGTCAACACTCAAAACACTGAGTGACACCCACCAAACTATATCAGGTATTTACATATTTGTTTGATGTTTCCATACATGTCTGCATCTTTTAAACTAAATTCCTCCTGCCTTTTTCAGGGCTTCCTCAGCATAAAACATTACTCATCAAGAATATAATCCACCGTTGTACCACCTTATTTCAAATATATCCATATTAAAAAAAACACTTAGGAAAGCCATGTATCCTATTCTAGCCTTCCATTACTATTTGTAATCATGATGGTCATTGTATCTATCTATTCTCAGGTGATTTTTCTTAAAACTACAGATATTTGGGGCTCTGATAAAGTAACTCAGAGTATCATCTCAATAACACCTAGGTTACAAGGTGCATTCTGGGTCAGGGCACATAGAAGAATCAAACAATGAATGTACAAATTAGTGGAATGACAAATCGATGTTTCTCTCCAAATTTTTCTCATTCTCAAATCAAGGTCTTAATGTTTTTCTCATCCAGTTAAAACATGTAAACATCAGCACAGATGAGATACCCAGTGATGAAACAGCAGCCAGGCTTCCCTTGAGGACAGAGCACACAGGCTTCCCTTGAGGGGGAGAACAGGAGGGGAGGTGCTCCTGCTGTCAGTGTGGCTGTTAGGGAACTAGTGCTGAGCTGCACACTCACTCACAGGGGATGATGACACTTGTGCTCCCTAAGACTAAAACCTGAGGGGCTGGGCAAAGCTCTGGGCCTGGACATGCTCCTTGTGGTCTCTGCCCCTTCCAGCCAGTGGTTGAGCCTGAGCTAATTTGGATTCAGGTGTCAAGGCTGGGATCAGCAGTGGCAGCTGGGCAGGTGGGTGTGGGCAGAAAAAAGCCCAGGGCAGTTGCCACGGAGAGTTGGTGCTGGGCCATGTGTGTGGCTCTGAGGCCCTCTCTAGTCCCAGTGAAGCCTGGTGGCCGCTCTGTTCCTTCCTTCCTTCCTTCCTTCCTTCCTTCCTTCCTTCCTTCCTTCCTTCCTTCCTTCCTTCCTTCCTTCCTTCCTTCCTTCCTTCCTCTCTCTCTCTCTCTCTCTCTCTCTCTCTCTCTCTCTCTCTTTCTCTCTCTCTCTTTTTCTCTCCCTCCCTCCCTCCCTCCCTCCCTCTTTCTCCAACCCCACTCTTCCACTCTGACTAAAAATCAATGGAGAAATATCCTCGTGTGAGGATCTATACTAATAAAAGGGTAATGTGCTAATTAGATCAGGAGACCTTTTGGATGTCCTTTTGGACAAAGCCATGGTGGTGGAGCCAAGGCAGAGGTGGTTAGGAGTGATCAGACCAGAAGGGGAGGGGAGGGCAGTTGGGGACGATCAGGCCAGTGGTGGGGGTAGCAGTTGGGGGCGAGCAGGCTGGCAAGCAGAGTGGTTAGGGGTGATCAGGCAGGCAGATCAGCGGTCTCTGTGGGATTGGGCCTAAACCGGCAGTCAGACATTCCCCAAGGGGTCCCAGATTGGAGAGGGTGCAGGCCGGGCTGAGCGCCCCCACCCCCGTGCATGAATTTTGTGCACTGGGCCACTAGTTATATATAAAAAAGAGCCATCCACCACTGCTACCCTGAGATGGGTTCCTCTGCCTGCATAGCCAACCCCTCCTCACTATTTCTTGCCTTTTCCTGGGATTTTCCCCCTGCAGGTGGGCTCACTATGTCCTCTCCAGGATTTGGCAGAGAGAAGCCCCAGGGACGGTCCTGGGAGGGACTTGGGTTCTGTGTCTGCCTGACAGGAGCTGGCGAGGGCTCTTCTGTCTCCATCCAGAGGTCTCTCCAGCCTGCTCCTCCCCATCCCTCAGGCACCTGGCTCACTGCAGCTGCATCTCCTTCTGTATCTGGGAGAAGCCCATGATGCTTTGCGCCCACACCTCACTTCACCTTTGCAAAGTCCTGCCTCTAGCCAGAACACTCACACCCCTGAGGCCTAGTGGTATGGCTTGAGGCTCTGATTTTGCATTTTGAGGGGAATTTTCCACTTTGATTTTATTAAAAATAAAGCCTCCCCGTCCCTGCACACCCCTGCCATAGCCAGTCCTGGAGGTATAATGGATTCTCTAGGAAATGGTGCTGTGTATTTTCAATGGAAAGAACATTCCATTGAAAATACACAGCATTACCTACCTGGTTTGGCTCAGTGGATAGAGCATCGGCCTGAGGACTGAAGGGTCACAGGTTTGATTCCCTGTCAGGGCACATGCCTGGATTGTGGGCTTGATCCCCAGTGTGGGGCGTGCAGGAGGCAGCTGATCAATGATTCTCTGTCATCATTGATGTTTCTTCTCTCCCTCTCCCTCTCTGAAACCAATAAAAATATATTTAAAAAAAGAAAAGAAAATACACAGCATTTTCAACAATGCTAAGAACATTCCATGGAATAGCAATACCAGCTTTTCCAGAAGGAGAGGATTGGTCTCAACATGGTAGCACGTTGGGAGGGTGCGTGGTGGTTGGTGCCCCCCTCCCTAAGTTTGGACCACCATGAACCACCATGACTATAGACAATGATGGAAGGCTAGAATAGGATTCATGTGGTTTCAAAAATGTTGTATTTATGGAGGCAGCTGATCGATGTTTCTCTTTCATCGATGTTTCTAACTATCCCTCTCCTTCCCTCTCTGTAAAAAATCAATAAAATATATTTTAAAAATATAAATAAATAAATAAAAATAAATAAAAGGAATTGTGGGTATTATAGGGTGTGTGATTGTCTAACCACTATGCTGTACACTTGAAACTAATACAAAATAATATTGCATATAAAAATTTTTAAATACAATAAAATGCTTTGTGCATGAAAAAAAAATGTTGTATTTATATGAATATATTTCAAGTAAACTATTACAAAGGCAGAATATGCCCTTGCATCAGTTATTTTATATGCCATGAAAGAAGCACTGATAAGGGCAAGAGGACCTTGGTTGCAGGGATGCAGGCATATATGGAAAAATCAAAAGCGTACATTAAAAAATACACATTTTATCCCTATCCGGTTTGGCGCCATGGATAGAGTGTTGACTTGGGCATTGAAAGGTCTGGAGTTAAATTACTGTCAAGGGCATGTAACTTGGTTGCAGGCTTGATTCCTGGGCCCCATCAGCGTGCATGCATGCAGGAGGCAACTAATGGATGTGTCTCTCCCACATCGATGTTTCTCTCTTTCTTACCACCTCACTTCCACCCTCTCTAAAAACTTAATGGAAAAATATCCTGGGGTGAAGATATTTTTTAAATGTACATTTAAAATCAATTATTCTTTTTTTAAATTAAATCTTTATTGTTCAGATTATTACAGTTGTTCCTCTTTTTCCCCCCATAGCTCCCCTCCACCCGGTTCCCACCCCCGCCTCTGCCCTTACCCCCCACTCCACTGTCCTCATCCATAGGTGTACGATTTTTATCCAGTCTCTTCCAGCACCTCCACACCCCTCCCCCACCTCCGAGAATAGTCAGTATGCCCCTGATTCTGTTATATTCACCAGTTTATTCTGTTCATCAGATTATTTATTCACTTGATTTTTAGATTCACTTGTTGATAGATGTGTATTTGTTGTTCATAATTTGTATCTTTACCTTTTTCT